TGATCAACTGTAACATTCTGATATCTCAGTTTGAGCTAAAATTATAACGGATATACGCTTCGAATTGGAATTAATTCTCACAATCAGACATGCTAAATGTCAGAGTCGATCAATTAGATTAAAATATTGCGAAGTTTAGTTACGGTTTACTTATTGTACAATCTTATATCTATTAAATTTACTACGATGTGTGCTTGATAATGTTCAACGTCACATAATCTTAAATGGCTCTTTAGAATTATATAACTGTCACAACTAGTCAGATATGTTAAACTGGACTGAAGTTATCATAAAGCAGAATCAGATCATTTGACAAGTACCTATTTTGCAATCACCTATAATTTTTTAAACATATTCTCACGTTTGTTACATTAAAAATAAAATCTTTTCAATGAAATAAATACATTTTATTAATTTTGTGATTTTTTATTTAAATAAATATATACTTTGTTTCCAATATAAAAAAATATTTATATATTTGAAGATAAAAGATTATTTACTAAAATAAGGAAAACCTGTATTTTTGAAACAAGTAGCCAAAAAATAAGAAAATGTTATTTTAAAGAATTTAATTATTTTACTAATTCAAATATATTTGCTATTTAATTGAAATAACTAATTTCTTTACAAGTATTTAAATAATTCTTTTTAAATAAAAGAAAATGTTTTTGGATTTAGTAAATTTTTTTTCAGTATACGAATTCGTTAGAAATTTTCGTCGGAACAAAAGATCTAAACATATTGTTAGTTAATCTCTTATTGACACTGCACTAATAACGCAAGTTGCGCGCTTACAATTAATAGCTTCAAGCTTCAAGCGACATTTTCAGCAAAATCGCGCAGCTGGCGAGACAATTTACTTGCAGACGTGTTGTGGTCGCGAGAATATCGAGATGAGCTATAGTCGGTCTGTGTCTATTTCGAGTAGTCATTATTACTATGGCTGCAACCGGTTAAGATGTTCAGCAACGAGTAGTTACACTAACGTTGTCGCGCCAACGCTAAATGTGCGAGAAGAGGAACGAAAAAAACCGCATGCTTTCGACAAAGTATATTTCAATGTATAAATTCTATTGCTTAATAATAATAATACTTGTGTTTTGTATTCTGATGAATTTATATTATTCTAAGCAAAATTAGAAAAAAACTAAAATATTAAAAAATATTATTTTTTAAGGTTTTTTTAAATTTATTAAAATATTTGCTATAATATAATTCTCGTTTTATAAATCTAATATATTTTTATAAACTATAAACTATAAAATACGTTGAAATGTGTATATGTGATAATAATAATATTAAATTTAATTAATGTATTTTCTCTCTTTTTCTCTTTCTCTCTCTCTCTCTCTCTCTCTCTCTCATGGACAATGATTGATCCACTCTTGCAGCTTTATGTTATCATGACTTGATTTAGTTAAATTAAAATTATGACTATTTATTTATTACTGTGTAAAAAAACAATAAGCAGAGAATTATATATATAATACAAATAAATAAATTTACAATAAAATGGCGATAAAGTACGTGAATAAAATCTCCTATTATGGTACGTATGGACCATACGTATCTACAGAACATACGTACCTGAATAATTCACCATTCAGTAATGATTTCTTAAAACACACTTCTTCGGCGAGATACGAAATGCTTGTCAGTTCATTAGCTCGTAGCATTATATCTGAATGTAATCTCAAATATAATTGCAAACACCTGACAAGAACAGTTTCAGCAAAGATGATTGCGCGCTTAGTATGCCACGCGCTACGATAATTAAGTAAATTGTTTGCGGCGAAGCAGAATGAAAACACGTCACTTTGTTATTTATCGTAATTTTAATTTATCATATTTTTATAATCGAATCTCGTTTCAGAAATTAGTCACAAAATATCTATCACATTCTTTTTTTCACTAATTTAAGTCTCTTTAGTTATGATTGAATTTTTCATATCTCAACATTTAAAATTTATAAGAATATCTTCACTCTGTTATGTCAAAAATATAATATTAATCAATAAAATATTTCATATCGAGACTTTTATGTACTAGATAATTTATAATCTCTATTCGATAAAGTCGATAAAGTCGATAGATTTAGAAATGATTTTCCAACGCTATTATCCGAAATAAATCAGAATAGAGAGATATAATAATGAGGGAAAGAAATGCCCCATGTATTTTTTTTTTTTTCAACGACGAATGAAGCCGATGATTCGCAAACGCGTCGAGATCGACAAAATCGAGAGTCGCCGCGGCAGTTATTCGATGAAGAGGCCCCAAGTCCATTACACTTGGTGACCACGGCTCGTGAGTTAAAGATTTAGGTGATGTTGCAAATGAGAGAGCCTCCACACACCGTGCACTTGCCATTTCGTTTCCTGGATCGTAAATATACTCTCGAAGCGAACGAGAGACGGTCGAACGAGAGCGAGAGAGGGAAAAAGAGAAAGGAAGACGCGGTGAGAAGGGGTGTCGGACGAGAGGGGTGGAGCGGGGCCAGGAGGCAAAGAGGCGAGAAGGGGTTGATCGAGGGGGAAAGGGGGGGAAAGAGATGCGGTATCGTATTTTCTGTCCGCTCATGCGGAATCGGCATGTCGTAGATATCGTTCCGCGACCTTCCTCTCCCGGTGGCGGAACCCAGGCTCTCGGCGGTGAGTTAACGGTGCATATACCGTGTGTCGACGCTGTGTACTCTTCTCGGTTCTTGGAGTAGCCGTAAAAGGCCGCTAAATCGTCCGAATGTGCACCAATGGGGAGGACGATGGCCGGGATGTAACAACGGCCGCGAAAATGCGCACCGCAAAAGAATCCCCGTTGTCATTGTGTACCTGGCGGCGATGTTTTGCGGCAGCAACGACTGCATCTCGCGTATATGTATATGTACATACTCTGGCGAGGAGATACGCGTTGCAACGATGCGACGCTGACGATGGAGGGGAAAAAGGTGAGAGTTGCACACAACAAAAGGTTGCGACTCTTGTTATTACAAACACACACACAATCGGCGCTGCGCTTATGATTTTCTTCGAGAAAAACACGAATATACCGTAAAAAAAAAATTGATTGAAATTTCAGACAGTGTCTGCAGCTTTTTTGCAGACACACTGTCTGAATTTTCAAGCATACACGTATTTCAATTTTCAGACAAACTTTTCTGAACTTTTGAAAAATGATTCTGATAATTAAGATAAATTATCTAGAATTTCTTTCAGACACCCAGATCTGAAAATTCAGACAAAATGTGTCTGAATTTTTAGAAAATTTCAATCAAGCGTTTTCACAAACAAACGAGACTATCTTATCAACAAAACTATCATATCTTTGGTATCAAGAGCTCTGAAACTTTTATTATAATTCCGATCATTTAATTCACATTTTTTTTCAATTCTCTGGTGCTATAGATACAAAAAATATAATTAGTTGAGATGACTATATAATTATATATGTTTTAAGAAATATAATTATTTTAATATAATACATGTATACAATAAAATGAGATGACTCTTTTAACAATTTTATATTTTGCAAGCATCGAAGAAAAGTAATATTATAAAATATCCATATCGTTTTAATCGAGTTTTTATTCTGAAAAACTCGTTTTATTTCTTATGAAATTGATGAAATTGTATGTAGTGTGTTCTTTTATATGATCAACTACCGTGTTTTTCTTATGAGAAATAATGAATTATATTGAGTGCAACCAAAATTAAATTAGTTGCAATTATTTTGGCAATAGCAATTATTTTTCGTTTTAATCCCATTTATTAAATTTTTACTTAATGTACAAATTTTCTGTAAATTCTGTAGAACGCATTGCTTTATATCGGATGTTGGAACAATTTATAAATTAAATATTTAATATCCGTCGAAACAGATGAAAAAAATTATATCATCTCAATTCTTCTCTCGAGTTACGTTACTTCATTCGCGAGATGTAAGAAATTTCTGAAAAATAATTCTCGCGCATAAATTTCACACATGGAAAATATTCCAATCGTGCATTCTGTACTAAATAAATAATCCATCCAGCCCCAGCACCTGATCTCGTCGCGTCGCGTCGCGCAGGAGCCGCCGAGCCCCGGAGTCGAGTCGAGTCCGAGGCCATGCGTGTCGCGCAGGACAAGATTAATAAATCGCATGCGGAGGCCTCTCCACCTTTCTCTCGCGCCGACGCGCGTGCTGCCCGCGAAAAAAATCCACGGGTAAAGCCCATTTGCCGTAGGACCGCGTAAATCACCGTCATTGTCTTGTTGCTTTATTACCCTCCCCCTTGTGTCCGGTGAGCTCTCTCTGGCCGCTGCCACCGCGAGGGACGCGTCCCTCGCAACGCGTGTACGACGCGACGGACGCATCAGAGGCGCATAACACACGTGCGTGTGCGAGCGCATGCACACATATACATACGGCGGAGACGCGGAGGGACGCCGGCGCGGCAAACGAGGCGTTAGGGTTAAGTTAATTCAACCGGCTCTGCCTCCCAAGTAGCGGCAACGGAAAACGTGAATCGCCGCTCGTCGGAAGTGGCCACGGATCGTTTCTGTATTACCCCCACGGCGCGATGGCGGCAGCGCAGAAGAAACCGCGCGCAGTGTGGTGGCGGCCGCGGTGCCGCCAACAGTCGGGGATCTTTGATCATCAGAAGGGGATTAGGTGGATGAATATAAGTCAGTCCTCTCCTCCTCTTTACCTCTTCCCTCCCCCCTCCTTTTTCCTCCTCTCTCTCTCTCTTTCTGTCTTTTCTTCCTCCCTTTTCCCGCCGCCGCCCCGCCCGCCTTTCCACCCTACGCGAAAATGACTAATGCGTTTCGCGTACCCGAGAATTACCGCGGGGATAATGCGAAGGTATGGGAGTCCCGTCTGTCGGGTGGTGCGCGCCTCGGGACGCATTATGTATGGTAGCCTAATTTTATTGCGCCATTCAAGAGAGAACGCCATCGTGCGTTCCCATCGCACACGGGATATTCTTTTCGCTATGGAGATTATGGCGCAAGACCCTCTCGCGGAGTAATATCGAAAATTATGGCCGTTGCGCATAGTCTCCTCAAGAGACTGTGTCGCGAAGCGAAAATTCCACCTCCTCGCACCGAGAAATCGCTGCGGATATCGTCGCGAAAAGCGAGTCTACATGGTATGGTTTATATTCACGATTTACATTGTATCTGTATTTATATAGTACATCGTTGCTAGAATGCTTAGGCAAGAACTTCAGAGGCATATTGTTTGAATTAAAAATAAAATAGTTTATATAAATAAATATGTTGTGGATAACAAATGAATTTTTATAATCGCATTTGTAAGATTATTTTATTACAAGTATCTTAACAAGCAAGGAAAAGACTATAATAGTTGTACTCCTACAATTAAAATAATACAGTTATATAATACATATTCCTTAATTTTTTAATAATCATTAAATTTCTATTACTAAATTACGATTTACAACAAAGGTTTTAAATATTTGTCATGTAAATTAATATCTATTCATGGATTAGTGTACTCCTTTAAAAAATTTGGAGTATTGAATATTTTACGTATATCAATATTAACGTCGCAATTGCCTAGCATTGAATCTTTAATCTTATTGATAACATTGATCGATCGAATGCAATAATACATTGTACCAGTCTTTAAAAAAAAAAGCTATAAGTTTATCATATATTTATGAACCTTTCTTTCTAATTTAGTATATATATAAAAAATTTATTCGAAATGTATCCTAGAGTATTCTAGCAATACTTGTATATATTATAAGGTATTTATATTTTTCATGTTATATTATATATACGCATATTATATTACACTGTAAAAAAATTTCTAGAAACTCAGACACATTTTTGTCTGAATTTTCAGATCTAGGTATCTAAAGAAAATTTCAGACAATCCATCTTAATCAGAGTCGTTTTTCTAAAAGTTCAGAAGAATTTGTCTGAAAATTGAAGCGTGTCTGAAAATTCAGATAGCACTCCGTCTTCAAAGGAACTGCAGACACTTTGTCTGAAGTTTCAGTCTGTCTTTTTTTACGGTGTACCTACAGCGAGCTTTCTCCTTAGCAAGATCTCGTCCGTGGCGAGCGTGGTGTGCGCGAGCGTAGATCACATTAGCTACGGTCGTACGCTATTCGCAGATGCTACCAGAGTGCCATCGACGAGACGGTCGCGGTGCAGTTGCAATTCCGAAAGAATGCATTACGATAACATGCGAGCCGAGTGTTAATTCGCGCTTATCCGGCGATATGGATCATAATTTTGGTCGCGAGCGCACGTCATCGCGAATATTGTCCGCGTATTCATCTATTTGTGTATACAAGGTGCTTCACTGATATCTTAGTATTTCATTCAATTTTCGTTAAACCATTGAAAATTGAGATCCTGATAAAAAACACTGGAGAATAATATTGAAATTAATTTTTAAATAGGACGATAGAACTAGAATATTAATTAATTGATTTTTGACACAGTAACACATTGATTATTATCCCAAAAATATTATTAGTCTAAAGATTGAAAGCTGAACAAAGTAATAATATGTAGAAGATTTACTAAAATTAAATTAAAAAATTGTTACAAAAGACGATCATTAAAATATAGGTTTATTCTTGGTATTTTTATAACAATATCAATATCTATAATCGAAGAGTGAGCTTTCTCAACCGATGAGACACCCTGTAAATGAGCGAGAAACGCGTGGATATCCCAACATCGGGTTGCAGATATTTAAGCCTATCAGAGTATAAGCCGGTAAGAGTGAAGAATGCGCTGATACTCCGGATTTAAAGTGTATTTGTTACGCACTATTATTAATACGCGTGATGTATCTACCATGCAGGAACATATCCGTAGGTTAGTTAAGCCTATAGGAAAGCCTTTACATATCTGTAAAGAAGACCAGATGCGCGCGACAGAATTAATTAACGTAATTGTTAGTATCAACGGAACGACGGATAATTTTTTAGTTTGCGCGTGTAAGTTATCGCTTAGAAGATCTGGTTTAGAATTATTGTGTCGTAAATTTCTAGAGCGGATGCTGTATCGTTTTCTTTTTGAACATTTGAAATTCTCTTCTGGTTATGCAATATTTTTCTAACGATTTCCTTCGGTGTGTATTACGTATTATGAAAATATGGCATGATTTTAACAAGAGCAAAAAGAAGATTAAAGTAAATTATATAAATGTAAATGGCGTTTCTTTTACGTTACGCGACTGCATAGCACGCGCGATGTAATTTCAATTTGTGGAAATGTCAGAGTACAAGAAAAATTCTGACCCTATGTCTCTATTAATCTTTCTCGCTATCGCTTTGCGCTTTCACTCGTTTTCCCACGTATGTAGTTGCGTTTATCTACGAACAAATCTACAATATCGTGCATCAACTCAGTTAACGACATTAAAACCAGCTGTAAAAGCAACATTGAAAAAAAGTATATTAAGAAAGATTTAAAAATAGATAAGTAATACGATGAGTCATCAAAATTACATCTTATAAAAAATCACAATTTAATCACAAATCATATTCTTAGATTGATTAAATAATACTGAAATAGATCTCAGAAATTGTGGTAATTTTTTGTATAATACGTTTATATATATGTATAGTGAATTTCAATTTATTGCATTAATTAATGAATAATTAAGTATTACTTAATTGTTTGTGCAATGTAAATATGAGAGTTCTAAATTTATATTATTAAATTATTATTTATTGTTATTTATTTATTTTCATTTTATTTAAATTTAAAATTATTTTCGATAGAAACTATAATTTTTTGTCTATATTTTAATGGACATCAAAATACATTTGCTACATTTTTTATTAAGCTAAAATATAGCATAATCGTCAAAACAAAAATTACAAATTTTATGAACAATTCCGTTGTAAAGATAAAAAGCAGGAAATATATATTTCTCTATTTCGGAATTAACATAATTAAAACAAATTGTGATAATCTTGAAAATTCACTGCTTATGCGAGTTTTAAAGCATGAAATTTAACTAATTTGAATAAAACGCTAAGCATACATTGTCATCAATCTTTACCGATCAATCTCGTTTAAAGTGTGTTATTATCATATTCTTATAACACATATTCTCTACAATATTACGGAAAAAATAGTATTGCTTGATTTACATGCATATTTATATATAAATATTAGTGCTTTTCATTACTTTAGTTGAAACGAATGGAAGGATTGTAACAATAATAACATTGCTTGAGATAAAGTTAAAATAAATTATATAAATGCAAGTGGCGTTTTTTTACATTACGCGACTAATTAATATGTGATGTGTCATTAATTAACATGCGACGTGTCACTGATTAATGTGCGCGAATTAATGCGACGAATTCTTTTATTTATTCATCTTTATTTATCTATCTTATCTGATATATGTGGAAATGACTGGTATATATTACGTTAACATTGGCATTCTTTCCCCGAGAAAAGATCCGTACAATAGAGAGTTCATATCGGAAATATAGACGAACTTTTTACAATTAGTGAATATTTTCAAAATGTTAACCTCTATTATATATCTTTATTTTGTGTTATTATTCATGACAAAGATAATGCATGGCCAAGGACATTCGTGTCTCTGTAAATATCTATTGTATTTTTTACATTTTTTAACATTATGTGAATATTAAGAGTATGTATTAAAATGAGTATATTATTTTTTACAGGTAGTCTGCCGGATTCAGATTTTGCGACTGGTGTCAATCTCATTTATTATAAATGGTTCGTATTTGTGGAAGAGTATCTTAAAAAATAATAATTATATCAATAATAATTAAAATAAATATTCGCGCGATATAGCAATAACGAAACTCCTGCAACGATCGCCTACCCTATCACAGCGCCAAAAGAGATGTTAAAAGTGTTAGAAGATAAGCGGACAATCTTTTACATCTTTGGATATACGCAATCTCCGGAAAACGAATATGTCCAGTTAATGATGGAAGGTATTGCATTTCTACGATAGACAAATAAAGCATTTCAAAATTGATAAATGATACAATGAGTCATCAAAATTATATCTTATCAAAAATCACAGTCTAATCACAAATCATATTCTATGATTGATTAAATAAAACTAAAATGGGTCTCAGAAATTGTGATAATTCTTGATATAATGTCTGTTAAATCATATTGTTTATTTTCATATTTATAGTAAATCTCAATTTACTTGCATTAATTAACAAATAAATAAGTATTGATTTTTTATATAACATAAATTGAAATAATGCATTCTGAATAATAAATTTTGCAATAAATTGTGATATATTGGTATGAAAAATTATCAAGGATAATATTGAATTCTTTCATAATTCATGGCTTTTCATACTTGTATATTTTTAAAATTCTGTTCGGATTATGCAATTTTTTTCTGTAACAAATGCCTTCGATGTGCACATTACGTGCACATCATAAATATACAGCATGATTTTAACAAGAGCAAAAAGAAGGTTAAGAAAAATTATATAAATACAAGTGGCGTTTTTTTATATTACTTATGAGCGACTGTCGTTAACATGTGATCTGTCATTAATTAACATGTGCACAAATTAATGAGATAAATTTTTTTATTCATTTATCTTTGCTTATCTATCTTTTGCATCTAATATATGGAGATGGAACTGGTATATATTACGTTAACATTGTCATTCTCTCACGCAGAAAAGATCCGCACAGTAGAGAGTTCATATTAGAAATATAGACGGACTTTTCACAGTTTGTGAATATCTTCGAAATGTTAACTCCTATTATATATCTTTATTTTCTGTTATTTCTCATGACAAAGATAATGCACGGCCAAGGAAATTTGTGTGTCTGTAAATACGTGTTCTATTTTTTACATTTCTTAACATTACGTGAATATTAAGAGTGCGTACTAGAGTGAGCATATTATTGTTTACAGGTAGTCAGCCGGATTCAGATTTTGCGGCTGGTGTCAATCTCGTTTATTATAAATGGTTCGTATTTATGGAAAAATATCTTGTAATAATTATATCAATAATAATTAAAATAAATATTCGCACTTTATAGCAATCACGAAACCCCTGCAACAATCGCCTACCCCATCACAGCGCCAGAAGAGATGTTAAAAGTGTTAGAAGATAAGCGGACAATCTTTTACGTCTTTGGATATTTACAATCTCCAGGAGACGCAAATGTCCAGTTAATGATGGAAGGTATTGCATTTCTACGATAGACAAATAGATCATTTAAAAACAGATAAGTGATACAATGGGTCATCAAAATTATATTTTATCAAAAATCACAATCAAATCACAAATCATATTCTTTGATTGATTAAATAAAGCTAAAATGGGTCTCAGAAATTGTGATAATTTTTGATATAATATGTCTATTAAATTATATTGTTTATTTTTATATTTATAGTGAATCTCAATTTACTTGCATTAATTAACAAATAAATAAGTATTGATTTTTTATATAACATAAATATAAAAAATTCAAATTTATATTATTAAATTATTATTTATTGTTATTTATTTATTTATATTTTATATAAATTTAAAAATATGTTCAATAAAAATTATAATCCTTTATAGTTCTTATTCTAGTTTCTTTATTAAATTAAAGAGAGATACAACAAAATACTTTTTGCATTATCAGCACTCTGTTATGAAAGAACGGACAACATTGTGTTACTCGATTGGAGTAAATATTCTAAGGACACTTACTGGAGGTCTTTCCAAAACGGCGAAAAAGTAGGCAGTTTGTTCGCACAAAGTATACGACTGCTTATAAATAGCGGCCTCGATATATCAAAGATTTATATCGTCGCGCACTCCTTGGGTGCCCACATAGCTGGTTTTGCCGGTAAATGCAACGACTTTGTAATACCTCGCATCACAGGTATGTGATTAAATTAAAATTGAAATCTTCACAGCATCTGGATTTTTTTTTAACTTGTGGAAATAATGATACTAAATGATAATTAAAATGGAGGACCTGCATATTTAAATTTAAGGTTATTTTAACTTATTGTTAACATAATCCGCCACTGTTTCCTAACATATTGTTATATTTACAATAATTTCTTATCCTTGACATTAGATAATCTGATATTTAAACGTTAATTTTTGAGCAATGGCGTGATTCCATTAATAATTTTTATTAATTAATTTTTTTCTTAAGTTTGCTTAGATATTTTTGTCTCACTTATGACGCTCGCTGCTAAAAAAATATCAAAAAATTTAATTTATAAAAGTAATAGACTTTTTTGTAAGATCTTAGTCCAAAAAGATAATTTAATAATATTTTTTTTTTACAAAT